TAAAGTCAGAAAGATGGCGGAGGATCAGGTTTCGAGGGATTATCTGGAGGAGAAGTGGACCTAAAGAAAAGATTAGCATTCTGCTAACCATGTGAATTGTCAGCTAAGTTTATCTGAAGTCCTTGATTAACTCCAAAGGCACCCTGGTTATAAGTACACAAGTCACCATAATATCAACACAATGAAATCAGAAGAAGTATTATTTTGCAGGAAAGTATGAATGGCAAAGCAGTTACAGTTATTTCCTGCTTTTACTATCTTCCAACCAAGTCAGCAAAGGAATCCAAAGTTATTTATTTGTTTTGGCTGTATGATACTTACAGAGCTATCTAAATGCAAATGTCAAACTCCTGGAGAAACAATTTTTTAAATCTTACATTGTTACAAACAAACAAACAAACAAACAAACAAACAAACAAATAAATAAATAAATAAATAAATAAATAAATAAATAAAAAATTTGTCCTTAAGATGATGTGATTTCATCTGTGGGATCCTGAGAAAGATGCATTGTATCAAACTCAATCAGATGCTGAACATGTTATATATAACCAGTCTTCCCCATTCTGATGCCTTCAGATATATAAGAATTTTAACTTCATGCAGCATAGAATCCAGTGGTGGGTTGCTCCCAGTTTGGTCCGGTTCTTGCAAACCAGTAATAACGGCGGCAGGAGGCTCCACCCACCTGCCCAGATGTCATCATGAACACTCTGTTATGCGCAGAAGCTTCTGTGCATGCGCGCTTGCGATCCTGTTGCAAACCAGTAACAGAGGTAAATAGAACCCACCCCTGATAGAATCCTATATATTTAGAAGTGCCAGGTTGTAGGAGGTTAATTTGATCTTCTCTCATTTACCCTTGCTCATGGCCAATGAAGAGTTTACACATTAAACAGTTGTGCAAATCTGGTTTTTGAAAAAAATATGTACAGACTGAAAGTAAAATGAGAGGTTTAATTCTATTCCAGCTCATCAAATTTTTGTTAGATACAAATTCATATACATATGAAAAAACAGTGTGGATATTTAAGCCTATGAAACATAAGATTTAGGATACTGGTAAGTGAACATTAATCATACATTTATTAGTGCTACAACAACATCTTATCATTTACATTGGTCCTCTAGTTTTTTCTATTCAATGCTGCTAGTTATTTGTAATTTCCTCCTGGTCCTGAGAATATATGTCTAATAACAGTACCTAGGAAATCTTTAGCTTTGAAGATCCAGGTTCACGTTCAACTTCAGCCATGAAAGTATGCTGGGTAATTTTGGATTAGTCAGTCTCTCTCAGCTCAAACTACCCCATAGGGTTGTTTTTAAAAATATGGAGGTGGGAGTTTATGTATACCTCCTTGAGCTCCTGGAGGAAAGGCAGGATATAAATTTAATAAATAATTAAATGCAATTATTCAGTTGACTAATCACAGGCTTATTGAAGTTTTATTTGTGAAAACAGGCAGGCATTGTTCAACCTAGGGATCCAGTTTTTGAAAGTCTTTTCAAAAGTAGCATGAGAGTGAAATTTTCTTGTGATAGAAGGGGAAAAAAGAATCATGCCTATTGGGAACAATTGTATAAATTGCATCTAAATAATTTGATTTCATTTTAGTTCAAATTTAGATTTGACCCTGGCAACATCCACTTGTCTGTATTGGCTTAACCTCTAAAATCACATAAACTGATAAATGCATTCATTTAAGTTACTTGCTTGAGGCAAATGTACAAATTTGCTTCTGCTTGCTTGTTTGGATAAACCAGTTCTATACATGTTTGTGTTTTTTCCTTCACCCTCTATACCTCAAGCTACACAGGTGCTGACTCATTCATTTCAGAATTAATATAGATATGTTTATAGTCCATATGATTTCAGTGCCCTGAAATCTACACCAGTGTGTTCATCATGCCATGAATCATTAAGTCGCTATGTCCCAACAAGACAATCCTCCGGTGCCAATGATCCTATAATGGCCAAAGAATGAGCATACCTCAGCTGTGGATGGCCAACATTTTTATGGTCATGAATGGAAGTTGATAGTTCTAGCATCTACTCCTCTTTGGTTCAAGCTGTTTTTGAAGCTGAGTCTCTTTCCTTTGCTAGAAGGTCACCAAATACCGACAAAACTCTTGGTTGTAAAAGAGAGATAAAGCACTCTTTATTTCTCGCTGGCTGCCCAAGATACTGCCAAATAACTGAAGAGTTAAGGCACAGATCCAGAAAGCAAAAGACATAAAATATGCACAAGCAAACATCTAAGTATTGTTTCAAATTTACAATGTTTGAATTCATTTAGTTTTCACCTAAATGAATAAAAAGATTGCCTCTGAGTTTGCAGAAAACACTTTTGTTTGTTCTTAAGCATTTACAACCGTATCTTGCTCCCAAAGATGGCAGAACTTTCATACAAATGATGTCTCAGCATTCCACTGTTACCGATTAAGCACTGACTCATTTTTTTTCAAATAAACTATATTTACAATACACAAAAATAAGGATCCCCTAGACATAACACTCTCACCTTGGCTTTCCTTCTTTCTGCAATGCTTCATAAATTCTTTCTCTGCTCTCTATTTTTAACTTAAGTTGTGCCATGATTTCTTTGTGAACCCTTTCAGAAATAACTACATAATATAAATGTAAGTATCTAGAAAGTATCACTGAGTACCAGCAAAGCATTTTTGCCCTTGCCACATACAGTACTAGATACAGCTGCCTTTTCTTCCTTACCCACAAATATCAATCATTAATACCCGCAATTTGTTTTGATGATAAAATCAAAGGGATACAAAAGAACATACAAAATTTAGTATGCAAAATTAGACGCAAACTGCTGCCAGCTGGACATATAGAATGGGGTGAGCAAACCAATTGCACACAATGCTTTCAGCTGAAGATTTACTTAAAAATTATAGAAGATAGTGTGTCTGGTGGGATGCTGGTACTTTTTTTTCCTTTTAAACTTTTAAAAAAGTTCCTGTTTTTAAAAATGTAAAAACTTTCTAAAAAAGTTCTGAGAGTCATTGCTTTCTGAAGGCCCAATTCTGAAGCATTCTGGGAGAAGCAAGACCCATTGTGTTGCTAAAATGATTTTATGGCGCTTCTGTAGAAGAAACATTGCAGTTAGAGAGAGTAAATTCAGATGCCATGCAAAATATCATTATTTCATGTGAATCTCTTTGCCCCATGATAAACAACATTTTGCTCTACATAAAAATACTTCTGGAGAAGGACTCACTGGAGAAGAGCCTAATGCTGGGAAAGATTGAGGGGAAAAGAAGAATGGAATGATAGAGAATGAAGTGGCTGGATGGAGTCACTGAAGCAGTAGGTATGAGCTTAAATAGACTCCAGAGGATGGTAGAGGACAGGAAGGCCTGGACGAATGTTGTCCATGGGGTTGCGATGAGTCGGACACAACTTCACAACTAACAACAACAAATATAAGTACATCTCTATCCATTCCTTTCAATATATAACTTCATGATAAAATTTCTTTCTCTCAAGGAATACTAGGGAAGAACTAGTAATTCAGTCAACACAGATTAGCTGATCATGGTCTGTTGACTATCATTTTCCAGACTGGGAGGGTTCACATGAAATATTTATCAGAGGCAAGTTAGGTTCAATTCATTTAATAAATTCAATGTTCAGAATTTGCACAGCACCCTGAACCACAAGCTAATTATTGGATTGGATAGATACTCAGAATATTCTAGGGTAAAATGTGGTAGGCGTGTGTGCTTTAATATGGTGTTATCTAATTTCCTGCCATTAGCAGCAAGAATCCAATGATCCAAGCTGATCAGGATAACTGTAGATGGGGTAGTTGTTTTATATTTTTCACAAGACAGAAAATTAAATGAGAGACAAATAAGATAGGAGAGTTGTTTTATAAAGTCATAAGGAAAAAATTCATCCCAGCTCAGAACTGATATGTGAATGCTAGGTGGGAATTCTGGGAACTAAACTCTAATAGATCAGGAGCATATCAAATGACGTAAAACTGCAAACTCTTTGCCAAATTTGTCTCTTCTCCTGAAAAAGAACTTTAATGCTACTTTTGTGCAAGTTTACAACTGCAGGCAGAGTGATGAGGCTTTGCCTAAACTTTCTAATACAAAGTGCTTGGTCTACCTTGGATCTCATCACTACAACGTGATGGTTAAGGCACCAGGCTAAAACTGGGAGACGTAAGTTTTAGTCCTGCCTTAAACATGAAAGATGGCTGGGTGATTTGGAGCCAGTCATTCTCTCTTTTTTTAAAAAAAAGTAGCTCCACAGAACTAAACCAGTGGCTTTTCAAATTGCCTCTGCCTATTTGTTCGGTAATACAAGTCAGAATTATTTTGACCCTTGTGTTAACAGATGATTGACTGATAGATTTATATAGTGATTGAAGTGATTTATATAGTCCCTCCAAATTGCAATTCTGGAGATCTATTTTTTAATGATTTTTTAATGAAATTTTTACAAAGAACATAAAAAGTAACACAAACTAATAAAGAGTAAAAGCATTAAAGGAAAAAAGAAGGGAGTCGGAAGAAAAAAAGTAAAAGCGCAGAAAGAAAGAATAAAAGGAAATGCAGTACAAAGAGGAAACTTCCAATTTCCTTTGCAGCACATATCAATACAACTACAAAATTATCTCGTAATTTATGAGTATGAGCAAATCTCGACAACCATTGTAGGATTAAAGCTAAAGTAAAATTAAACAATCAAAAGCATGAAGAAAACCAGCCCAAGGAACTGACTGATGATGCCACATGAACAGCAGGCTCTTCTCTGCACATGGCCCATTTCCTTACTTGTTTGTGTTCCTGAGCATTCCTTTTCTGCCTGGAAGTCTGTGTCACCTTCCTCTACCTCGTGTTGCTGTTCTGCCAGCTGGTTATAGGCTGCCTTCTCCTCCTGTGCCTCAGAGCATGAGGCTGTGTGCTCAGTCACTAGGTCCCTCCCAGGAGGCACAGCCGTCCAAGCTGGGTGGATTCCCAACAGCCAAACTTCAAGCTTCTTTCTAGCCATTCTCAGAGTGTGAGCCTGACTCACAGTATCCAGGTTGCAGGCTCCCTCCTTCGCACAACTTGGTGAGTTTGCATGTTTTCCCAGTTTGCTTCTGCCCTCGCTTCTTGCTAATCAGAAATGTAAATCTTGTTTTCTGTTGGGGCACCTGAGGCAGTGTCTGGCATCTCCTGTGCTTCTTTTCATTGGCTTGATTATTTTTATTCCTTGCTTGATTTTGTCCTGAAGTCATTTTATACTGTAAAATACATTTTCTGCTGAAGAGAGAAGCACAGGAAGAATTTTTGCTTTGAAACATCACAACACTTGAAATTATAGGTGAACTATAGGATTTAACTTTTACATCCATTGTTATATTGGTTAATATGCAATGTTGACATCATGCCTGAAACTTCACAATTCAGATATGTTCATGTGTAGAATCGCTATGAAGAATTTTGCAAATACACATTATACATGCAAATCAGAATGTGGCAAACAACTCTAACTGTTCACACCAGTAGAGTAATTCTTTACAATATTAAATCCACTTGTTTGGAATTAAATAATATTTTTAAAAAGAGAGGATTACATTATATGTAGACATTGAAGCCTTATATTAGAAAGACTGTACAGCATTCATTTTTCTGTTTTCTTTTCTTAATTCTCGTAGGTAGATAGCCTATCCTTTTAAATACCATTTGATGTAAAGATCCGCAGCTGCTCTTAATGAGCATGCTGCATATTATTTGGGGAAAGGGGGGCAGAAATAAGGTTTTGTGACATGCCTCCTGCTCAGTGGAAAGCTGATCACTTTTTCCAAAAAGTTAATATGTCCAATAAGTCAATATCCAAGGAGGATGGAGTAATTTGACACTAATCAGTTGTAATTATATACAGCCAAGAATGATTGTATGGGCAATCTGCAATGGATACAGTTACATGTGATCAGTGCATAGATATTAGGTGCTTCTAACTTCCTCAAGGTCTTGTTCTCCAGCTGTTTACCATTCTCCCCATTCATCCCCCAAGTTTTCGCAGGCAAAGACCATACTAAGCCAAACATTCAAGGAGCTATAATCCCAATACATTTGGAACATGCTAAATTGAGGAAGGTTATTCTAAGATGAGATATCTTGTTATTCTCCTGCAACTTCACACAAAAAGCTTCCTCAGAAAAATACCCCCAACCTAATCAATTTAACACACTTGTGCATATAAGCCTACACACACACACACAGAGAGAGAGAGAGAGAGAGTACAAAAAATAATCAAGAACTACAAAAGCAGTCCGGTGTGCATATGGCAAGCATATTGCAGACCTGATCAATTTTTTTTAGAAACTGAAACCAATGACAGAATTAGTTACAGAATTGAATCCAACCCAATTATTTACACTAACAAAAGCACATTTTTCAACAAACAAATATCATCCAGCATATAAATGAGCTACTGTGGCCTTCCAGATTTCACTTTATAGCTCCCAGCATGTTATGGTAATTTTGGCTAGGTCTGCTCTATTACATACAGTCTCTTCAGGCTGCCTTTGGATGGACTGAATAAGAGGAAAATATTTTTTTTAATATTGGGATAGTTTAGGATATCTTAAAGCTATGTCAGTCATGGGCTAGGGATGTAATATAGGTAATATCACAAGGTCAATGGCATAAAAAAGATATTGCCCATGCATGTTGGAATAGAATAGAATAGAATAGAATTTTTTATTGGCCAAGTGTGATTGGACAAACAAGGAATTTGTCTTGGTGCATACGCTCTCAGTGTACATAAAAGAAAAGATACATTCATCAAGAATCATAAGGTACAACACTTAATGATAATCATAGGGTACAAGTAAGCAATCAGGAAACAATATCAATATAAATCGTAAAGATACAAGCAACAAAGTTACAGTCATACAGTTGTAAGTGGAAGGAGGTGGGTGGTGGGAACGATGAGAAGATTAATAGTAATGCAGACTTAGTAAATAGTTTGACAGTGTTGAGGATGTTTGTTTAGCAGAGTGATGGCATTCGGGAAAAAACTGTTCTTGTGTCTAGTTGTTCTGGTGTGCAGTGCTCTATAGTGTCATTTTTAGGGTAGAAGTTGGAACAGTTTATGTCCAGGATGTGAGGGGGTCTGTAAATATTTTCACAGCTCTCTTTTTGACTTGTGCAGTATACAGGTCCTCAATGGAAGGCAGGTTGGTAGCAATTGTGCCATGATTATCTGAGTTAGGGGCATGGCCAAATAGTTGAAAATCTGATATAGAAGTAGGATATATATTCATTTTGTATTAGCACTATAATTTTAAAAAAAAGATAGGGCAGGGTGCAGGGGAAATTTCCAATAAATACATCCTGAAGAATTAAACAATAATAGCAGTGGTAAAATCCTCCACGGATTGTCACCGGTTCGCTGCCTGCACATACGCGGTGTGCACCAAATGCACACTTTGCACAGAAAAAGGAGGCTTGGGAAGGTAAGTAGAACAGCAAGGGGGGGAACAGCTGTGCTGTGCAATTTAGCTTCACTAGAAAGCAGGATTTCCTGCTTTCTAGTGAATATTAACCACACGGCACAACTGATCGTCAGAAATACCGGTTCGGACAAACCGGTAGCTTTTTTTAACTACTGATTCTCCCAAACTGGTAGTTTTATCATTTCATCCGAACCGGTGCAAACCGGTAGCATTTTACCCCTGAATAATAGTCACACGAAAATAAAAAAACAAAAAATTCTGAAATGTATTTTTCCAGTAAAGAATAATTCTTAATAACTATCTCATCTTATGATTCCAGGGTATCATAAACAAAAACAAAGAAAACCCAAAATGTGCCACAAATATAATATAAAACAATGATCATTTCATAGACCAATGGCAGTGTACCCTAAGAATGTACTAAGCATGCGAAAAAGACACAAAACTATGCAGCACCCATGTGCTTCATACTAGGTAACTTTGTATTCATAAAAGGAGCTTCTCCTACAGCTGAGCCAACTGCAATATTCCACCTGTGCCCTCAAACATAACTACCATCTTCATTTTTTAAAAAAAGGAAAGTCCCAAAACTTTCATGTTTCTGAAACACGGTGGATCAACTTTTGTGGTTCTTATTGGTTGTTAGTATGTTAATTCAATAATCACCAGATTTCTGAATGTTCTAGACAAGCTGCATTTTGGGGAAATTAAACACACTTGAAAGTCTGAATTATCAGCAGAGGGTCTGGAAATAGATGAACAATCATATCAGACCTGATCAGATATCCTGCATGACTTGGATTCCCAACTGCATGAAGAATCATCCCTACAACTCTTTTCAGAAATTAATTACATTGATGGGAATAAAGGGTGGAACCAGCAAAGCAATCCATTGTCCATTTTCCCTAGAACTCCTAGTCTGCATTAAAATTATCTGCCTATAGCACAAATTATCAGCCTAATGAATGAAGCAATTTCATTCTCCTGCTTCTAATTTTCATACTTGTGAAGTTAATTCATAAAAAGGAAATGGTGTTAATCTTTCATATCTCTTCCTACAAGGGTCTTGTTTTGAATTTAAAACCAAATCCAACCATCAAAATGGGTATCGTGTAGCTTAACTAAAATTTAGAAAATGCCTAACCATCCAGGGAATATAGCAATCCCTCTATTGTTTGTTCCCTTTTTCCTTTTACTAATTTCTATCCAACACATAATGGATAGAATAACGTAGTCTTCTAGCAATTTTGGTTACAAATATTGATGAGGGAAATGTTTATCGCATTCTTATGAAAAGTATGAGTAGATGATAAAATTATAATAACCAACAGACTACAGTAGATACAGAGGAATAAAGCAATATATGTTGTCAGATCTATTTCATCTCCACTACTAAGCATATTATCAATTGCTTCATTATTGTTTCACATGGAATATCTTTTGGTTACGAATAATGGCAATATTTAGGGGGACGGTGGGCACATTCATTCAGATGAAATAAAGATCTGAAGCATACACAGTTCAAGAACCAATCCCATTTTTTAAAAAGTGTATTATATTTCTATCATTTTTATAAAAGAAAGTCAGTTTGAAGACAATATTAAAGCATTCTTTTTAACCATCTTTTTTCAAACTTCTCTAGATCTTGTAGAAACAGCTGCATCCCTCATGACACAATGGCACTGCCATCCAACAACACAGCCTTATCCTTAATCCTCTCAAAATTGCTAGAAGACTACGTAGAGAAGAAAAACCACCCCACACCTGTACCCTTCATTGATTCTAGTGACCATCTAGAGATAGTGTTTTTACTTCTGCTGCTTGGACTTTTTGGATTCATCACCTTTGGGGTCATGATCAGCTATATCCGCTCCAAAAAACTGGAACATTCCAATGATCCCTACAATATCTACATTGCCACTGATCTCTGGCAGATGAGAGATAAAGCCAACTTGAAGGCCAAAATAGCAGAAAATTATAAATCATGTTGTATATGGAAAAATGAGCATGCTGTCGAACAACCTACTAATCATATCCCTGAAGTGAAATCTTAATAACAAGATGGTCAGCCTGTTGAAGAGACATTGTGCTATCCCTTCAAAAGTACCAAAGAGACAGTTGGACAATACATTTCAAAAGCAAAGGGATAGAACCTATAACCTCTACAATTGCCTCCCTTAAATTGCTGCCACACTAATGTGTTGGATGACACCTTCCAGCAATTCCTGAGCAATATGTGTTTACTGTGTAGTAGAAAGAGTTGTTATTTGAAAAGCTCATTATGAGGCACCATGTTGGGAAAGGCAGCTGTTCTAACCTAAACAGTAAAATATAGGAGGTATTTGTAAGTTATGATTTATCCCAGCATAGTTTTTCCACTTTAAAAATCTGGATGTACTATGAATAGATCCTTGTTCTAGACTTGATTCTTATTAACAAAACAACAAGCATGAAAATGTTGCTTCAGTTTGACATTTTGCAGGTATCTCCATCTCACTAACAGAAAACATGAAACTGATTCATAAGAGATGGAGCAAGACCAATACAGTTTAATATAAATCACATAATTTCTTTGTGTATAATATAATATAGGCCATCCAAATGGATGGGCTTTTAACCAGTTAAAATTTATGCCTGGGGACAGATTTGTTTAAATTTAGGATTTTTTTAAAAAAGGATTTTAAAAAAACTTCTAAATTTAGGAAATACAAAAACAGCCATTAGCAACTGCTCAGTTTCACAAAATATGAATTTACAAGGAAAAATGTAGAGGAGAAGCAGCTATAATTAAACTTAGCTCAGAGCTAAGTGCTCAGAGCTCATTATATAGCTCAGAGCACTTCAATACCAACATTGGACACCATTTGGGGATCAATTCTGGCTCTTATTGATCTCATTATATTTGTTTTGGAGAGCTCAGTGGATTAATGCTGACTTTTGGCCTATAAATCTCAGTGGTTCACAAACCTTGTGGATAATTTGCTTTGCCACTGGCAGGACCTCTTGCTTCAATGTGGTCCATGGGCTCCATTTAAGCCAGTCCTTGCTCTCCCTTGCCCCAAGGTTCACATACAATTCCTGGAGTTTCTCTTTCTCTCTACGCATTGCTTGGAACCTATTCCTTTTCTTACAGTCCATAAGAAAGCAACATAGCTGCTTAGAGTCATACACTAGGTGAATTTAATAAATAAATATGATTTTATATATGATAAACATTTCACTGATAGATTTCTTATGAAATCAGTAGACTGCAATTCTCCAAACCTTTCAGTTACTGATCAATCTTTTTTATGATAATTCACTGATTGTTGTTTTAATTTGTATGATATTTCTCATTTTCCTTTAATAAGTGATTTCTATTGAAGGAATTTGTGATTTCTAGTTATTATATAACTTCAGTTGTATTTCAAACAAATAGTTTATTTTACTGTATTTTTATACAATATCCTCTATTGAGGAACAATTGATTGGGAATTGCTAAGTAAAGGTATACTATAGGAATATATAATTAAGGCTGCCAAATGACCAGAAAAATGGGTTAGTTTGTTCTTAAGTCTTGATTTTAGAAATCAGCAAGTAATTAGTATACCATATAAATGCTTTCAAATAATTTCAACTTCAATTTCAACTTCAATCATTTTATGTACATTAAGACTTAAGTGATTGTAAGTAGTCTTTATACATTTGTACTTTTTCATCACAAAATAAAATGCTAATCTCAGACATGTTGCATATTGCATATTGTATATATAGCCAATTCATGACAAACTTTCCTTGGTTGTATCATCTCCCCAGAAATAATATTTCCCTTGCTAAGTCTTTGAATTTCACCAGGTTTCTCTTGGTATAGCAGCCTATCATCATCAAAATAAAGTTTCAGAAAAATCTATTTTGTGTCCTCCCTTTTCTAACTGCTAGAATAAATGAGTGTTCAATATTTCATCCACTTAAAATAGTTCTCCTCCAAATTTTAGCCACCTATTGGTCCGTTTTGGTATGAGGAGGGGAAAAAAAGCTAGCTAATCATCACCCAGAGAATTTCAGGGCTGAATCTAGATCTTGTCTCATCTCCAACTCTGGATCCCCAACTTGATGCCCCTCAGTTGTGTTGCCTATAGCTCCCATTGCTATTTCAGCTGGGGAAAATGACATTTGTAGTCCAATACAAATAGGAATATTCTAGGATCATGCATCATATGATAAGGAAGTGTTTATAAGAAAATGGCAACTAATACAAAAAATTAATGTAATTTGTATAACAAATTGTCTATGGAACCTGACTTTTGATACACCCTGTATTATATAGAGTATTGTTTTCATCACCCATTCAAAACAATTACATTTGTAGAACTGTAGTTGTCAAATGAATGGAGTAATGCATTTGTGTGCTTGCTTCTTTATCAGTTCATATAACTAGCTTGGTAAAATACAGGATAACAAGTATTTTGTTTTAGAGAATTATAACACAACTTTATTAATATTAATCATATTTTGTGTTCACTAAAGTCCCTCAAGACCTGGGTATGCTACTAGGCCTGTGGGTCCAAAGACTGGGGAGATTTTGCAATGGCTCCCTGACTATAGTTATTATCATTTCTTGTTTTGTGTGCCTTTTAAGTGTGATTTTTAAAATGTATTTATTTACTTTTTTAGTTAAGTGTTGTACACCACCCAGAATCACATTCTTTTGATATAGGCAGCTACATAAATATGATAGATAGATAGATAGATAGATAGATAGATAGATAGATAGATAGATAAATGATAGATAGATAATAAAACAAACAAATAATATATAATCTGAAAAAATGAGATAGATATTTTCCAAAGTAAGCATCATGTTTAAGCATGACTCAAAATATATATTAGAAACAATTTAATTTCTCATATTATATTTCCTAATGAAATTACTTGCTGTTTTTTTTTTCATGCCGCAAAAGCCATCCATCCTGTTTGTAAAAATTGTAAAATTGCTACCTGGGATGGATTACAACATTTACCACATTTAAACTTCTTGCTTAAACCTGCACTAGGGATCACCGCTAAAGGATTTAGTCTAATATGGGAACCTGGACACTGAGTCATTGATGTGAGGTTCCATTCACATTTCTTTCATGTTTTACGAACCAGGGGAAAGACTAGAGTCCTAAATGATCCTGATCCGCCAGTTGCTTCCCTTTCTGGATCGGGACGCCTTGCGCACGGTCACTCATGCCCTAGTTACCTCCCATATGGACTACTGTAATGCTCTCTACATGGGGCTCCCCTTGAAAAGCACGCGGAGGCTCCAACTGGTCCAGAATGTAGCCGCAAGGGTGATTATGGGTGCAGCTCATTGCGCCCATGTAACACCTCTCCTACGTGAACTGCACTGGCTCCCGGTGGTCTTCCGGGTGCGATTCAAGGTGTTAGTTATCACCTTTAAAGCACTCCATGGCTTAGGACCTGGGTACCTACGAGACCGTCTTTTGCCATCAATAGCCTCCCACTGACCAGTTTGTTCTCACAGGGAGGGACTACTCAGGGTACTGTCAGTCAAATTATGCCGACTGGAGACTCCCAGGGGGAGGGCCTTCTCTGTGAGGGCTCCAACCCTTTGGAATGAACTGCACCAAGATACGAAATATCCCTGAACTCCGTGCTTTCCGCTGTGCCCTCAAAACCCTGATGTTCCAACAAGCGGGGCTAAACATATGAACATGTGAATGTTTTTAAAATGTTATCTAATTTTAGGTTCTATTTAATTGGGCCAAACTATGTTATAATAATAATTTTAATTAGCAATTTTATGATGTTTGTGTATCTATATTTTTCTTGACTGTACACCGCCTTGAGTCCTACGGGAGAAAGGTGGTGTAGAAATATAATTAATAAATAAATAAATAAATAAATAAATAAATAAATAAATAAATAAATAAATAAATAAATATTATGTTTAACCATATTCTTGTTTGAAATAATACTAATTATAATGAAAATATCTTTTATTATCGGGTGCTTTCTGGTCAGCCAATTCATTCTGTCACTATGTGCATTTAAAAAAATAATATTCTCACCAACATTTTATTTTATTTTTAATTCCTAATGCAGATTTTAAGAAACCTAAGGTTTCAGTTTTGTACTGTGTACTGAAGTACAGTTTTGTACAGTGTACTTGTATTCAAGTACACTGCTTAGTTATAACAATATATGCTTTCAAGATATATTTTTTTAAAAAAAATTATAGCAGTGTATGCCTAGAATGTAAGAAAAACATGAAACACATAAGGATTCATTTCTTCAGATTTGCAAAATAAAAAAATGGGTTTCATTTTGTGTGAGCACCACCTGCTGGTGGAATGATTGTGTATAAAGGCAAATGTAACATCATCCTCCAAACTGCTGGTAACAGATGTTTATTTCTTTGTTCCCTCATTTCAATGTATATGGCTCATTAACAACTCTGGGCAGTCAATTTAAAGCTAAATTTAAAAGCAACAACAACAATAAATGTATATATAGTAGCAATTGAGGTCAACAACAATCACTACAAATAACATCCATTTTATGGGTTACATTGACCTCCCAATCCCCACACCCAGGAAAATAGCCAAAGTCTTTCTCAAATGCTGGCAGAATCTTGGGGATTATGATGTTCCAGAATATAGGCATGGCAACAGAAAAGGCCTGTTTCCTAAATTGCACAAAGTGACATTCCTCGATAAACAATAATTGAATGGATACATTGGAGGGGAGCTGAATTTCTTTCTGATATAGGCCTAGATAAACCTTTTCCCCAGACATTGTTTGAGTAGTCATTATATGCCTGTTGACATTAGTAAAATGTATTTTAGTAATGCCGTATCACTAAAAATATCACCTATGAAAAAGCAATGTGCAATGTACAGCTTGGAAAAAGTCATTTTTTTCCTTTACGTTATTAATGTAACTGAAAAGGAATAACCAGAATTTTAATTCTTATCATAAAAAAATTAGGCTACATATCAGCCAGGAGTCTAAATTGCGACTTTCTTGTCAACAAGAACATAAGACCCAGAAAATTTCTGATTTGATCTAGTTATAATAAAAGTCTGCTACACAATTGATCACATGACATAATCACATTATCCATATTACAAAGTATGGTACATGCTAGGACCTTCTTTTGGGAGGAAGAGGAGATCTCAGCAGGCCTTCTTAAAATATCATGGCCAGGAGGTCTTTACCTCATGTGTGCTGGAACCACCCCACAGTGCTAGAATCAATGGTCTTGTGCTCATGATGGATTTCCCCCATCATCCTTTCATGAAGGAAAGAACAAACAAGCCACAGATGGCCGCAGTGAAGAGGCAGAAGCATTGGAAATTTACAGC